CCCCAGAGTCCCTGCCTTGGCTGTGGTCACATCCCCTTGCTGGGGGGGCCCTCTTGCCTTCCCTAAGTCCTGGCTTCTCTTTCTTCTGAGAGTCTCTTTAGATGCCTGGGTGAGTATTTCTCCAAGTGTGGTCCCTGAACCAGACCCCGGGTGGTCTGTGGAAATGCATGTTCCCAGGCTCTGTCCCAGCCTCATCGTTCTTAGGTTTGGACAGAGGTCCCTTTCCGTGGGACCAGGAGAGTGGCTTTCCAGGAGAGAGCTTTCTCTCTGAAACTGTGGCCTCCCCAGCCTCCCTGCATCCTCCTGTGTCCACTGTGACCACCATCCTTGCCATCACTTTCTGTGTCATCCCCAAGGAGAGCTCCTGAGGACAAGGCTTTGCTCTGTTTGCTGCTCCAGACCCAAAGGTCATAGCAGGGGTTTTGGTCCCAAGTTCAGAATTACCCAGTCCAAAAGAGTGCTGAGATGGGAAACCCAACTCTTGCCTCAGCATCTCACTGCGTGAATGAATCAGGGAATCCCTGCAGCAGGGGGACAGGGTGGCACCTCCCCTGAGACTGCAGGCATGAGGTTCAAAAGAGGGTTGGGGTGAGAGGGGGTGAGAAGAGGCCCCCACAGGCTGTTAGAAATTCCCTGTGTTGGTGGCCTGCTGAGAAGTATGTGGCCCTGGACGCACAAGTCACCAGTCTGCTCCTGAAGCTGCTACACTCACCCATGGGCAGGGTGTACCTGAAGGCCACCAAGGCCCTCACCATGCTGCCATAGGCCCCTGAGGGCTGCAAGGTTGTGCAGGCCCACGTGCATACCCTCCGTGTCCCAGAGGAGGACAATGACAACAAAGCTTATGAGTGCGAGGCCTTACAGCAGGTGACCCAGATCGCCATCAATGTCATTGAGTGGAAACCCTGAGCCCCTCATTGGGTCAGACCTGATCAGCCACCTCTGCACCTGAATCAATGCGCTCAGTCTCTTTATTTCAAGCTGGAATAGCACTTTCTGTTTCTGGAGCACAGTCATGTCTCTTCTCACTCTTTTGCCAAAGCCTAAATGCTAGGCCCAGAGGCACTGGGTCCTGGATGGTACAGGCTGAACGCAGTGCTGGGGTGGGTGGGAGATGGCCTTGGAGTTTCACTCTCTGCTGGGGCCAAGAGTTTTCCTCAGAATGTAGAGAAGACTGAGACCTCCATGGGCAAAGCTGGGGGCAGGAACTTGGGAAGGAAGGAACGCAGCTGCACCAGGCACCACCCAGGTTTCAGAAACTCCAGTGATTGATCCATGGGGTGTGGCTGGGTGTGGTTCTCCTCAGCCAGGTCTGCCCCCTCCCCACCCTGGCTGGCAGGAAGGGAGGCAAAAGGTGAAACCCGATGCAAGTTCTTATGACTGAGGATGACTCTGTCCCAAGAGGTTCCCCCAAGGATGACAGCTCAGGACAGGGAGAGGTTCTGGTTTCCTCCTTAAGATCTTCCCAGCAAAGAGCTGCATTCTCTAAAGTCACCCAAGCATGCCCCCAGGATGGTCTGAAGCCTAGCCACCTCCAAGGCACATTCCTGGTGCTGTCCAGGAGGGGAGCCTAGGAATCGCTTCTCTATGCCAAGTCATGGAAAATGCCTGACTGAGGAGCTTGAGCCTCCCTCAGATGTCCCTGTAGCACGTGCTGGTCTGCCCTGTTAATTCAGCTCCCTGGTCAGCTCCTGGGAGGGCTTCACCCTGGGTGAAGAAGACAATTCCTTTTCAGTGAGAGCAGGCTCCCAGCTTTGTACACTACGACATCATCCCACTGAGCAGCCTCCACGCCAGCATCTCCTGGGCTCCTGCTTCTGCAGTCCAGGCTGAGGAGATATTAGAGATGCGGGAACTCATCAGCCAGGGATGGAGGTGCCTCTGCTACAAGGGGAGGGCCAGGAACACAGCCTATGTTGAGACCTAGAAGTTCTGAGCACCACACCCTTGCCTCCATTCTCCAAGGCCCATTTACCACACCGTTATCAGTTTCAGGGATTTAAGAAGCTGCTGCCAGAAGAGGTATGAGAGCCAGCCTGGAAGAGGCAACTGGTCATTCAACTGTAGCCCAAAGGCACAAACTGCCACCCCAGAGAGCTGAGGCTGGACAAGGGTAGTGGGACAGCCAGTGGCTATAAGCCCACACTATGAAGGGAGCCTGCTGTGTTGAGACCCCAGTTCTATCTATGGAAGAACTGTTTATCTACGGAACCTGGGGCAAGTTCATTAACTGCTCAGTGCCTCAGTTTTTCTAGCTCTAAAGTGGGGATAGTAATTGTGCCTATCATAAATGCCAAAATATCATTTTGGCAGTGCCAGGTGCATCATGCTGAAAATAAGCGCCTTGTACATTGTGGGTGCCCAAGAACACTGTTTACAACCCTCAGAGGAGACAGATCAGCAGGCATCTGAGGGAGCCTGGAACCCTGCATCCTGCAGGTGCCTGGGGTCCTATACCCAGGAGAAGCTGCTCCCTCACTCCACAGCAGTCTACACAGCACCCCCCCCTGACCAGGGGTACACTGGTTTGGGCAAGCGTTAGGAGGGAGCCCTGGACCTCTCTGGACTCTGACCTTCCCTGGAAGGACTGTAGAGGGTCAGAACACTGCTTCTCCCAGCCAGACCCTTCCCTCCCTTTCCAAACCCATGGCCTCCTCACCGCTCTCTGTCTCAGACTCAGGACTCATCTCATTACATCCTTCATCCCTGTTTGCACCAAGGGCTGCAAGAAGCTCAGCTCACCTCCCCTTCATGGCCCTGAACACTCGTTTTCTGACTCCGTCTGCTGAAATCTTTTTTCCAAGCCCTCTGGAGGACCCAGGGCCTCAGCATCTCCCAGGAACATTCTTTCCTTTCTTGCCTGGACTGAAACCTAGCTCTTCTGAGACCTGCTTCCCTACCCTAGGCATCCTCCTATGTGGGGCCGCTGTCCTCCCTCCCTGCCCCTCATACCCTCATTGGAGTGGGACAGGTCCTTACAGACCATCTCCTGTGCCTGTTCTGAGGAGCCCTCTGGTTCTGAATCTCTGCACAGGTTCTATGGCTCTGGCCTTCTCCCCTCCCCAGCACCACACCACCAGATTGCTCTTGTAGGGCACTACGTGGTCTCCATGCGGCTGAGCCCAACTGCCAGTCCTCAGGCCTCATCTTTCTCTGGCCATGAGCATTTCCCCAGTGGAGGCTCACCACCTCCCCTCCCTGAAACACTTCTAGGAAATTAGGCCACTTCTCTGTCATTTTGGTTGTTCAAAATAGCACATTTGCTATTGTGCTCTTTAAGAAACTGATACACATCATGGTGTGTTTAAGCCTTTAGGGAAGTGGGAGGATACTGGAGGCTGCTCTGTGAGCATCTCTATGCTATACCAAGTCAGATCAGTGAGGGAAACTGGACCACTAAGCTGCAGGGCTACCTCCCACTCCAGGATGCTTTTCACATCTTTCACGATCCCCTCCCTGGAGACCTTTCATGGCCCGGACTCATCTTAGGCCTCCCTGTTCTCTCCATGTGCTAGTGGGGTGCCTACCGATCAGATAATGAGTGGTGCTGTCACTGAACTGACTGCCCGTGGGGAGCTACTCACATATGTTGTTAAAGGAGCATGAATTGGTGTCATCATTTAGGAAAAAGTTTGGCATGATTTATGATGATGAAAGATATGCCCCCTTCTAACAGTCTACTCCACAGAAGTGAGTGCTGGTGTTATTCCAAAACCATTGACAAAAATACTCAAAGCAACATTACTTGAGATAGACACAATTATATTAAAAATAACCCTGGCCAGGCATGGTTGCTCACGTCTATAATCTGATCACTTTCGGAGGCTGAGGCAGTCAGATCACCTGAGGTCAGGAGTTTGTGACCAGCCTGGCCAACATGGTGAAACCCTGTCTCTGTCAAAAATACAAAAACTTAGCCAAGTGTGTTGGCAGGTGCCTGTAGTCCCAGCTACTCAGGAGGTCAAGGCAGGAGAATGGCATGAACCTGGGATGCGGAGCTTGCAGTGAGCCAATATCCTGCCACTGCACTCAAGCCTGGGTAACAGAGCAAGACTCCAGCCCAAAAAAAAGAAAACAAAGAAAGAAAAAGAAAAAATCTAGAACTCAAGTGATGAATATCAACTTAGAAAATAAAACCAAGGCCAAATTTTTGAAAACAGGAAATAGTGTGATACTATCTTTTGTGGGAAGAAATTCTTGGCTTCCCCCAGAATTAGAGAACTGGGGAGAAAGAAGCCTCAGCTCAGAATCTGTGACTGGGCTAGAAGTGTGCTCAAGGTCAAACTTTCCTCCTCCCTTCAAAGGAAACTGCAGTTTTACCAGTGAGCCCAGAGTGAATATTCACTCCGCCATCCACCCCGGGAGATCCCTTTAAACCAGGAGTGCACAGTGAGGACAGAAACATGAATGTGCACCAACAAGTCCTGAAAGTTCAGAGGGTGATTCTCAATTTCTCCTTGGCACACAGCAGAAGAATTGTGTCTCTAGGTTCAACACAGATGACACCCAGTGCTTAAGCCTACACCCCTTGTGACTGATCCCAAGGAGTGTTGATTAATCTAAACCAAAGGCTCTGATGTTCCACAGGCAGAAAAGAGCAAGTGGACTGCAAAGAGAATCTCTCATGAACGCAGCACCCTCATAGCCCATACAGAGAGTTCTTACCATGATGCCAAGAAACTGAAGACAACAAGCCAGACCTCACACACATTTACATTTTCCTTCTGATTTCAAACGCCCTCCTTCAGCCCCTCCTCACAATCAGCAGGGATAACCTGGAGGCTCCTGGGACTGGATGAGTCTCCTTGTCACTTATACTCTCCAGCGTCAAGTCTTTAGAAACAAAACCAGCAGGATAAGTCATCAGAGTGACTCACCCACTCCTACTTTAGCTGAAGCTGAATGATGGGTTAGTCTCCCAACCCACACTGTTTCATACATGATCCCCAAATCTTTCTTCTGGGTTGACAAACCTTCCTACAGCTTCTCAGGCCAGAGTTCTACACTGGCAAAATCACTTTCAGGAAAACCCCAAGCCTCTTTCCCAGCAGGAACCCAGAATCAGGTTTCTCTACAATGAAGCTAGCAAGTTTTCTCCTCAGGAAGTGAGTTATTTCATGGTACATACCGCTTTCTTTCCAAGCTCTTATCTGCAATTATATAAAAGAAAACATGAGAATCAGATTCTGCTGTGTGCTTCACATAGATCTGTTATTCTCTGGACAACGATAAAAAACCAGAAGGCAGTACAGTGATTGAGTCATAGGTCAAAATCCCCAAAGACTAGCACAGAGGATAGCTATAGAAAAACAAGACCTCTATTCACAGAATTTACCTTTAAATTTAATTTGATATGCAAACGCACAATGCTTCATCCAAGGAGGAAAACTGGTATTGTGGAAAATGCCTCAGTATTCCAGTTGATAATGGATGCTGTCATTTAGAAGCAGCATAGCATACCAAGTATCAGTTGGGAAGACACTCCTACTGAATTCCAGCCCCACAAAGACAATAGTGTACAGTGTACATAATGTGCATTGCCAGGTTTTCAAATCAAAATTAATTGAGAAGAATTAGGAAAGCAAGATTGCTGTGGAAGCCAAAAATGTGGGTCTTACCTGGACATCACCATCATCATCATCATCACCATCTTCATCATCATCTTCATCTTTGCATTGTGGTGAACATCTTAAAAACAGGCCGTCCTCAGGAAGAGCTGGAAGGACACAGAGGAAAGATCAGTGCACCGGAGGTTGGTGACTGTGAGTCACTCAGGGAGTTTTGCTGGATGTGGTGTATGGAGGTGGTTGATTAACAAGCATGGACTGAGTTGATACTGAGCTATTCCCCTGAGAGGAAGAGGGATGGCAGAGGATGGGAGCAGGAAAGACATGAGACATGGTGGTCTTGGACTTGTACTAGAGGCATCGGGCAGCAACACAAAATAGTCAACCAAAAATGGAAATAAATGCACACTGAGGGTCAATGGAAGAGTGCCTTCCTGCCTGTCAAATGTTTTGAAAGTCTACAAAACAAACAGCATTTTCTTAATGTATTCAAGACCATGTCAGTACACTAGGATCTAATTATGCTGATGCCACATTTAACATCTATTTTAAAGGATTTATTACTTGATTAAAAGCCTATTTTATGGGTGAAATGGACTCAATTTTACCCAAATTACTCTATTCTATTAATCACAATTCTTTTTCATAGAGATCATTTAAAAATTCAATATTAAAATGCTATAATTAAAAATAGTGATGATTTCCCATTTGTAAGTCATCTTCTGAAATGACTTCTACACACCTTTTTGGGGCCCTGTGATCAGGGGCTTCAGCAGCTCCTGTGTGACTCTCCCTGGGCAGATTCCCTAAAAAATCAGGCTTCATTCAAACAGGCCAAGCTCACACAGCCTGCTCTACCTACACCAGTGAAGCTGAGAGACATGACTTTGAACACTTTCTACCATGAAAAAATGTTCACGAGTATGGGGGTGATTTTTGGTTAACTAGTTTACATAAAAATTATTTTTTTGGCTGAGCACTCTGGCTAACACCTGTAATCCCAGCACTTTGGGAGGCTGTGGCCCTCTGTGGCTCCCACATCCAACTTTCCAGGCTCTACAGTAGTGGATTCTGATGTTGCAGCAGCCACAGCCTCATAAATATCAGATTCATAACAGGGTGCCACATTCCCCCCGCACCAGCTACAGGTGGAGTCAATACAACAGGTCAGTACACACCCCATGGGGCACCCACACTCCTCTCCACTCCTGCCTGAGACTTCGATGAAACTGAAATGGTGCTGTCCTAGCAGCCACACTACTGAGGCTGGCACAACACTTGTAGAAGCAGCCTGACCCCAGGCAGATCTGGGGCCTCAGCCCTTACTCTGCCGCCACCTCCCAAACTGGCTGGTCTATGAGGTCGGGGACCTGCTGTCTCATTGAAAAATAAATGAACATGACAAGCGCCAAGAGGCACAAAAACTGCTGTGAGACAGCAGAGTTGGAGCTCCTCCTCCTTCCACTACCAGCTACCAACTGAGGGCTGCTGGCCCTGGCTGATGCTTATAACCACAAAGCTTCCTATGTCACCTGCTTACCAGGAAACAGCCAGGTCAGGCTAGTGACTCACAATGTCCAGCCCCACAGCCCCATGCAATACCTCACAATGCCCATCCCTGCTGTTGCCCACCTTGTGGCCACCCTGCCCCTCTGTGATGACTGCACTACTCAGGCTTTCATTCACCCTGGGCTGCCTGAGCTTTCCAGTCCTGAGGAAAGTGTGGGGGAGTTATTACTGGAAGTCACCCTCAGCAAGAAACTCAATAGAAAACCCTGGTACAACCGGGAGTGGTGGCTCATGACTGTAATCCTAGCACTTTGGGAGTCTGAGGGGGTGGATCACCTGAGGTCAGGAATTCGAGACCAGCCTGGCCAACATGGTGAAACCCTGTCTCTACTAAAAATACAAAACACTAAGCTCAGTGTGGTGGTGGGCACCTGTAATCCCAGCTACTCGGGAGGCTGAGGCAGGAGAAGTGCTTGAATCCAGGAGGCAGAGGTTGCGCCAAGATCACACCATTGCACTCCAGCCTGGCTGACAAAGGTGAAAGTCTCAAGAAAAAAAAAAAAAAAAAAAAACCCATTTACTAAGTCAGTTCCAGGAGCATTTCTGTTTTTCGAAGTCTGACTGCTTTCATTTGCTCACCAAATGTAGTTATACACAAGTTTTTGACTACTTTTGTAACTAAATGCTTCTCTCCTGTCTTATAAGTGTTAGTTCTTATCTGCAACTCCACCATAGCTACCCCCAGGGCACTGGTCAATAGAGAGTCATGGCTGTGTATCCTGAATGAAAGCCTGGGACACATCACACTTTCCCCTCCTGGTCTATAAAATAGGGACTGAACACATCCTTCCCATCTCTGTAATGCTATGACTTACCAACTCCCTTTTCTCCCTCTGTTTCTTCTTTCCATGGCAGGGGTACTCAGATGTTTCTTTTATTTACTTATTTATTTTTTGAGATGGAGTGTTTCTCTGTCAACCAGGCTGAAGTGCAGAGGCCCGATCTCGGCTCACTGCAACCTCCACCTCCCAGGTTCAAGCGATTCTTCAGCCTCAGCTTCCTGAGTAGCTGGGACTACAGGCACGTGCCACTGCATCTGGCTAATTTTTGTATTTTTAGTAGAGATGAGGGTTGCACTATGTTGGTCAGGCTGGTCTTGATCTCCTGACCTCAGGTGATCCACCAGACTCGGCCTACCAAAGTGCTGCTATGACAGGCATAAGCCATCACACCCAGCCTCAGATATTTCTTTCACTAACAAATCATAAAGCATTACCTTCTTATACAAAATTAAGAACCCCATAGTGGGGTACCATTGTCCTCATAGGATAAAGATGAATAGTCAACACCTGGCAAGCATTATGTGCCTGACAGTGTTCCAACTGTGGCATACTCATTTAACCTTCAGAAACAGTCCCATTGTACACAGTTTACAACATAAATCTGGATGGGAAAGTCAAGTAACTTCCCCAAGGCCCCACAACGGCTCAGTGAGTTCAGGCAGGTGAGCAAACAAAGGCTTAGAGTTGTCTGAGGCTACACTGCTGGACAGTGGATGAACCTGGAATACAAAGGCTCATTCACTGTCCAGCAGTAGAGTTTAAGTAGAGTTTAAATTTTATTCTGGAAACATGAGAGACAATGAACCACACAAAGGTGAGAAGTCCCTATCAGATGTGTTTGCTGTGAGGTCTCTGCACAATAGAGGACTGACGGAAGCAATGGGAACAATTAAGAGACATTACGTTGGGAGGCCGACGTAGGTGGATCATTTGAGGTCATGAGTTCCAGACCAGCCTGGCTAACATGGTGAAACCCCATCTCTACTAAAAATATGAAAATTAGCCTGGCATGGTGGCGGGCACCTGTAGGCCCATCTACTCAAGAGCCTGAGGCAGGAGAATTGTTTGAACCCAGGAGTTACAGGTTGCAGTGAGCCAAGATCATGCCATTGAACTCCAGCCTGGATGACAGAGAGAGATTCTGTCTCAAAAAAAAAAAAAAGAAAGAGAGAGACATTATGTTCATCTGGAAGAAGGGGTAAGGCTAAAGGCAGTGGAAATGACTGCAGTGGATGGAAAAGTCTTGTGATCATTTGGGAGAGAGAACAGGAGGCGCTAGATGATTAGATGTGGAAGAACAGGGCAAGTAAAAGGAAAAACAGGCTGCCGAGGCTCTAGTTTGAAGGACTGGGTAAATAGCAATGACTTTCTCCTACACAGAGAATGTAGCAAGAGGAATAGGTATGGGGAATAAGATAGTTTTCAGCTGGGCACAATGACTCACACCTGTAATCCCAGCACTTTGGGAGGTCAAGCTGGGTGGATTATGAGGTCAGGAGTTCGAGACCAGCCTGGCCAACATGGTGAAACTCCATCTCTACTAAAATTACAAAAATTAGCCGGGTGCGATGGCGGGTGCCTGTAGTACCAGCTACTGGGGAGGCTGAGGCATGAGAATCACTTGGACCCAGGTGGCGGAGTTTGCAGTGAGCCGAGATCATGCCACTGCACAATAGCCTGAGTGACAGAGCGACACTCCGTCTCAAAAAAAGAAAGATAGTTTTGGACTCAAGTATTGCATTGAAATGGAGCTCTCTGCTAGAAAGTTAGGTAGAAACCTCTGTAGGCTAACTCCACTCTGTGATATCACAACTCATGTTTTAAAAAATACACACATGAAATCAAACCATTACAGAAATTTCCTAAAATTTACATACTAATATATGACAACTTTTTATTTATTACTTTCTTAGAGTAACTTTGAATTTACAATCATAGTGAATGAGGTGTCCTGTAAAATAAAGCTGTTATATAAAGATGACATTTAAATTTTATTGTCATCAGAGCACATAAAAAACAATTGAAGCCATGGGTATGGCAGGGGTTGCTTTAAAAAGCTGTGTCTAATGAGGGGAGTTGGAAAGAAAGGAGACTTGGGGGCCGGGTGCGGTGGCTCACACCTGTAATCCCAACACTTTGGGAGGCCTACGCAGGTGGATCACCTGAGGTCAGGAGGAGTTCGAGACCAGCCTTGCCAACATGGCAAAACCCCTTCTCTACTAAAAATACAAAAATTAGCCGGGCGTGGTGGTGGGCACCTATAATCCCAGCTATTCAGGAGGCTGAGGAAGAAGAATTGCTTGAACCCAGGAGATGGACTTTGCGGTGAGTCGAAGTAGTGCCACTGCACTCCAGCCTGGGTGACAGCAAGACTCTATCTAAAAAACAAAATAGAAAAGAAAGAAGACTTGGGGAATAGGGAGGTTTAAGTGGCATTAAGTAAAGCCTGCAAATGTGAGCAGTGAGAGTCAGGGTACCTGAGTGTTCATCAGAAACGGCTGATTGGGTAAGTCTCATCACAATGGAGCTGGTGTCTGCTTCTCATTTCTGTAACTGCTGTACCTAACACAGTACCTGGTCAACAGGGACTCAATACCTAATACCCCAATGAACACAGTAAAATTCTGCCAGTTCAAAACTATGTCCATACCCACCAACTTCCCTTGTGGAGTTTTACTTTTCACTTCCTGTAACGTTTTGAAGTTTATCCCTCCTGCGATCTGTATCCATAGTTTCTTTTCTTTGTATAACTGAGCAGCGCTCCACTGTATGCACAGACCACATGGGTCTATCTATTCTCTAGCTGACGGACACTTGGGTTGTTTCCAGTTGTTGCCTCTAGTGAATGAGGTTGCTGAGAACATTTATGTATATGTCTTTTTGAACACATGCTTTCATTTCTTCTAAATAAATTCCTAGGGCTGGAATTGCTAGGTCAAATAGCTAGTTTATGCTTAACTTCTTTTTTTGCCTTTCTTATTCATAGAAAATATTACACTGATACATAATATTGGACATTTCTATGAGGCACATGTGCTGCTTGCTTCTGTGCATCCAATATGTCATCATCAAGTCAGTGTATCTGGAGTATGGCCTGGAGTATTTATCATTTCTATATGTTGTGTATATTTGAAGTTCTCTCTTATAGCTATTTTGAAATATACAATACATTATTGCTAACCATAGTCACCCTACTCTGCTATCCAACATTAGAGCACACTCCTTGCATCTAATTGTTAGTGTGTATTCATTGACCAACCTCTCTGCATTCCCTTCTTATACCCGGAGGAGAGAGGAAGGAGGGAAAGGAGCTGTGGGTGGCTGAATTAGGGCCCAGGGATGGCTGTGTCCCAGTCCCGGGACCTGTCCATGTGCTGTGTTGTGTGGCCACAGGGGCTTTACAGATGTGAGGATGTGAAGGAGCCTGAGGTGGAAGATGATCCTGGGTTATCTGGGTGGGTTCAAGGTGGGGTCTTTATAAGGGAAAGAAGGAGGCAGGAGGGTCAGAGTGAGAGCAGGTGTAGGGGTGGAGGGAAAGAAAGGGAGAGAAAGAGGGAGGGTGAGAGAAGACGGTGGGAAGAGACAGAGAAGGGTGGGAGAGAGACTTGAAGATGCTGAGTTCTGGCTTTGAAGTTGGAGGAAGGGGCCAGGAGCCCAGGGTGTCCTCTAGAAGCTGGAAAAATCCTGGAAATGGATTCTCCCCAGAGCCCTCAGAAGGAGCCTGGCTTGGCTGGCACCCTGATTTTAGACTCTAGGGTTCATTTTGGACGTCTGACACCACACCAGGGAGAGAATCAATACGTGATGTTTTAAGCCTCTAAATTAGCGGTCATTTGTGACAGCAGCCACAGGAAAGTCAAACAGGAGCCATCGGAGAGACTCCCTAGGATGCCCCGAGTGTCCCTCCCTGGCCCCACCATCAGAAACACAGGCCTGACCACTGCTGGTGTCCCCACCCCTCTAACACACTGCTCAGCAGGAACCATGCAAGAGGGGCTGGGTGTGGCTGGGCCATGTTCTCTCCTCCCACACCTTCTTCTCAGAGAGCAGCTGGAGCCCCAGACCCAGGGAGCCTCCCAGAGAAATTCCCAACACAGGACCTGGTTTTCCACCTGAGGCTCAGGATCCAAGGGAGAAGTGTTTCCCAAAAATGATGCTTCCTCCCAAGATGACCAGTGACTTTCTGCACCAAACATCTGAGAAAATCTCCATGTCCTAGGGCTGCCAGGCAGTCACCTGTGCACATGTCAGAGCCTAAATCCCATCAGTAGTGAGGCCTTGGGTAAAACACATCCCCACTTTTAATTATGATGAGATGCCTGGCCTCAGCATTGAAAACACCAACTTGGCCGGGCGCGGTGGCTCAAGCCTGTAATCCCAGCACTTTGGGAGGCCGAGGTGGGTGGATCACGAGGTCAGGAGATTGAGACCATCCTGGCTAACACGGTGAAACCCCATCTCTACTAAAAATACAAAAAACTAGCCGGGCGTGGTGGCGGGCGCCTGTAGTCCCAGCTACTCGGAGGCTGAGGCGGGAGAATGGCGTGAACCCGGGAGGTGGAGCTTGCAGTGAGCCGAGATCGGGCCACTGCACTCCAGCCTGGGCCACACAGCGAGACTCCGTCTCAAAAAATAAATAAATAAATAAAACACCAACTTCCCTCAAGCAAAGACTTGTTTAATCTCTTTGAAATGATGGAGCACACCAGCCTGAACAACATGGTGAAATCCTGTCTCTAACAAAAATACAAAAATTAGCCAGGCATTCTGGCATGTACCTGTAATCCTAGCTACTCAGGAGGCTGAGACAGGAGAACTGGTTGAACCTGGGAGGCAGAGGTTATGGTGAGCTAAGATCGTGCCATTGCACTCCAGCCTGGGTGACACAGGGAGACTCCATCTAAAAGAAAAAAGAAGAAACAAATGATGGAGCACCTATTACCCTTCTTGCACTGGTTCCTGGGGAGCTCAGAGCCTATCTTTTGTAAAGATCCTTAGCCTCTTGCAGGCCTTTCATGTGTGTTTCCTTCCTGGTTTTCTCCTATTTTTCTCACACCTCTGAACCTGCTGTCAGGTGAAAAATCAAGGTAGGCCCAAAATTTAAGAGCTCATGAATTTGATGGTGTTGGAGTGTCCCAGACAGCCCAGCCCTTGTGGGTGGGGAGTTGGGCAGAGAGGAAGGAGGGCATTCCAGGGGGCAGAGCCAGAAGCAGAGGGACTCCAGGCCTAGAGTAGGATTTCCAGGCTGAGGAAAGAGAGGCCATGGGTGGGGAGAAGGTCCAGGACAAGGACAGAGAGTGTATCTGGAGGCTCAGGCAGAAATAGCTCCCTCCAGAAGGCAGGCAGCGAGTTGGAGGGTGAGCTGCAAGGAGGAAGGGTAGGTGGGAGAGAATGGATGGACCGGTGTTCAGTGAGCCGACTCCTCCTATCCTGGCCTATTTCCCCAGGGGACATGCCTGGGAGCCTGTGATCCTCTCCTCCAGGCTGATTTCCCACTGGTGCCAGGATTCCCCCAATGCCACACTGAGCACCCAGGAGAAGCATCAAATTATATGAGAGATAAGAAATGAAGAGAGGCAGCAGGATTTCTAGTTGACAAAGGATGTTTATTGAGGGTTTACTGGCTACAGGGAGAAGGGCTGGACGGCTTGGGATGTAGAGAGACCCCTCCGCTGGGATCCTGCAGCTTCAGGCCCCTGTAGGTGGGTTGAGGGTTGGAAACCTATGAACATTCTGTAGGGGCTACTGTCTTCTCCACGGTGACATTTGTTTGTGGCTGGCCTATTTCACTAAGTATAATATCTTCAAGTTTCATCCATGTTGTAGAAGATTTTTGAAATCAATTTAAAAATAATTAACAATTAAAACCTATTAAGACCTATTCAAAGTAGTACATTCTGCAGGGTCCACTGTCTTCTCCACGGTGCTCCCTTCATGCGTGACCTGGCAGCTGAAGATGTTGCGGGACCTCCACTGCTCAGGCGTCAGGCTCAGGTAGCTGCTAGCCATGCACTTGTTTCTCTGTTTGGAGGGCATGGTCATCTCCACGCCCTGGGTGATGGGGGTACCATCTCCCTTCCAGGGCACCGTCAAGATTCCCGGATAGAAGCACTCATGAGACACACCAGTGTGACCTTGTTGGCTTGGAGCTCTTCAGAGGATGGCAGGAACAGAGTGACTGAGGGAGTGGCCTTGGGCTGATCTGTGTGGACAGAGGAAGGGGTAAGAGATGACAGGGAGTGTGCGGTGTTGTGGAGCGCCTCTCTCTGTCTAAAGTCTCTGGGAGGGTTCATGGTGTGGCCATCTGGTCCACCCAGGGTCTCTCCCTCCCTCTTAATTCCCTCCTTTCCACTGGAGCCCTCTGGAGAGCAGACAACCCTGCACCTTCCTAGGGGCCTTCCCAAGTCACCTTCCCAGGCATCCTGGCCCAGTCATTTCCTCTGCAGCCTCGGTTTCCCCGTGTGTACCCAGGGCAGGTTGTGCTCCCTCCTTCCTGGTTTCCGGAGTCTGAGTTTAGAATCTAGGAGTCTCTCCCACAGCACACAAAACTGTCCTGGCACAGTGTGGGGAGGCCCAGGCCTGTCATGGCCCGGAGCCTCCCGCCCCCTGGGGCAACAGGCTGTGCCCCAGCTTGGCCCACTCACCTCTCCTGGTAAAGCACAGGCTCCACCCAGACAAACCCTGGGGCTCTGCCGTGGCCCCCGTCCCACCAGCCCGATCACAGGACCCTTCACATCCGCTGGGTTCTTGGGACTGCTTGCCCAGACTTCGGGGTCACCATAGTCCCCATGCCCACCCCAGCAGCCTCTGATGCCCCTGGACTTCACCTGGTGGCCCTGGAGTTCTCTGCACCCACATTTACTCCCCGCTAGTCACCTCCTGAGTCTAAGGTGCTCTTCCTCCAATGAAGGCAGGAGGTCCACCCGTGAACAGAGAGATACTGGACCCCAGAGGTGACGGGACTCCAGGGACAGACACTTCTCTGCCCCAAGAGACCCTCTCCTTTCTTCTGACTGTCCTGGGAGAGTTGGACTCTCGGACCTCGCCCAGTCTCATCTGTTCCTCGGTGTCCCCAGGTCCTGACCCAGCGCAAGCCACAGAGCTACAGCCTAGACTCAGAGTCCTCTCTGTGCCTTCCATTGGTCTCCCCTTGGGGTGACCCCTGTGTCCCCAGTACCCTGTGTGGCCCTCCCAGGCTGGAGGAGCATCCAGTCCTCAGCCTAGACTCTGGGTTCCTGGGGACTGTCTCTAAGGCTACTGCAGGGCCCCTCATCAGAACTGGCCTCTGTCCCTCACTCAGACATCTGCTCTGGGAGAGGGGAGGAGCCCTGACCCTGCCCAATCCCAGCACAGGCACTGGGACCAGGCTGTGTCCTGCTGTTGGAACCTGAAGGCGGCTGCTCCCACTGTGGGGGCCCTTCCTGCAGGATACCCTGAGACTAGCCCGCTTCCCTCAGACTCCATGGAGAAAGGAAGGGCTCCATGCTTAAGACTTGGAGGGCAGAGGGGAAGAAGCCCCAGAGAAAGAAAACAGACTTTTCCAGAGACAGGAGAGGGTGGGACAGGCTGGGGAAAGTTGTCAGAGCCACCTACCTAAAACGGTGAGCTGGGTCCCGCTGCCAAACACATGCCTCGGTGAATTATGCTTGGATTGAAACCTCCAGGGCCAGCACCTGGGGCCAGTCCAGGAGCTGTGCTGGAGCAGGAACCTGCTGGGTGTGAGGGGCACAGGGCTGCAGTGTAGAGGTTGTGACCTAGGCACAGGGCAGGGGGTGCCCAGTATCCCAGTAGTGTCTCTGTGCCTGTCCCTTCTCTGCAGCAGGTGCCGCCCACAGCCTTGGAGTCACCCCAGCCTGTGTCCCAGTCTCTGAAGCTGTTGGTGCTGATGGCAACGCTGGCCCAGTGGGTCCCAGCAACTCCCTGAGTGACACATCCCCTCAAGCAGCTGTGTGGTGTGGCTGAGGAGTGCTGAGCTGGCTCAGACCTCCTCAACTTCACTTGGCCCCACTTTAAGGGCCTCTGAAACCCACCACAATTGTCCCCAGTCAAGCCAGGCTGACTTCCTTCCTGGACCAGGACACTGGGTCATTCCCGACTCAAGACGAGATTCTTCTGCTTTTATATCTATCCAGGGAGATGCAGCTCAGTCTCACATTGTTCATGAAGCCTTTTCTGATCATTCATTCCATCTGTCCATCCGTCCATCTATTCATCCGTCTTTGCATCCATCTATCATCTGTCCATTCATCTATCCATTCACCTGTCCGTCCATCCATAAATCCATCCTGTTTACCAGGCACTGTTTTGTGTACTGGTGACATGGTGTGGTCCCCCATGCTCTCACCCCCTTCTCTCCCAGGTCATGGCCAAAAAGGCACTCCTCATGGTAATGTCCATAGTCCTTCTGCTGTACCTGGTGTCTCTGCTGGATGTGACACGGGGCTGGTCCCTCCTTCCAGTGACTCTTTTCCCCTTGGGGTCTGACTCCCCTTTCCTCTTCCCCTGGCATCTGTTTCTCCATGGCCCATGCCCGGCTGCTGACTCCCCCAACCCCCACCCAGTCGTCTTTCTTGGCCATCTTCACACTCTGTGACCCCTACTCTTGCCCACATGGTGAGGCTGGAGTCAATCCCAGCTCCAAACCCTCTCAGCTCAACTGCCTACTGACGATGCCCAGTGAGCTATCCAACAGGACTCTCAAACTAATCACATCCAGAGGAGATGACCACCTTCCCCTAGCCCAGCTCATTTTCCACCTTCAATTCATCACAATGACCATGGGCAGTCTCAGCCCCTCAGCCAGAAACCTGGAGTCCCTGGACTCAGTCACCTCGCCTCCCACACTGAAATGGCTTCTGCGTACTTAGCTACTACATCTAGACATTCCCTTTTTTTTTTGTTTTTGAGACAGAATTTCGCTCTGTCGCCCAGGCTGGCGTGATCTCACTACAACTCTGACTCCCAGGTTCTAGGCAATTCTGTCTCAGCCTCCAGAGTAGCTGGGATTACAGGCATGTGCCACCACAGCCGGCTAATTTTGTATTTTCAGTAGAGATGGGATTTCACCATGTTGGCCAGGCTGGTCTCGAACTCCTGACCTCAGGTGATCTGCCTGCGTTGGCCTCCCAAAGTGCTAGGATTACAGGCATAAGCCACCATACCCGGTGACATTCCCTTTAAAGCTAAAAGAAGGCTCAATATAATTAAGAAACAATAAAACCACCTTCTGAGACTCCAAAACCACAAGAAGAGTGAACTTTGCTTTTCTGGATTTTAATCTCAAACTCTCTTTGGTACAAGGATGTGGTGTTGAGCTGGGGCTTACTGGGTGCAAGCTCCCTGCCAGGGGTTCAGACCGGAGTGTTTCTACCTTAGAAGCTGGTCTAGTAATTGGTGATTGGTTTTGTGATGTGAACATAAGATTTTTCTTTGTTTATTTG